GGAGTCCTGATTGATCACCTCACCATGTTTAGACATGATGTGCTTCTCAATAAAGTTCATTGCTTTGAAAAGTTTGCTACAGCTCTTACACCGGAACTTCCCTGCACCCTCGTCGGTTATCTGAGGGCTGGCACAATCGATGTATTTCACTACACAAAAGATCACAAGTACACGGGTTGAGTCAACGGAGGATGCGCGCACGCAAAACGGTAGGAATCCATTTCGATCAAGTGGACTCACTCATCAATCCTTTCTCCACCAAACTCTCGAGGGTCGACTTCAGATGGAGTCAGGATCAGTGCAACCCGGTCGTCTAGGGTACGTGCCCAATTGCTCTCGTTGGACTTGAGATGGGTCGAATTTTGAGAATTGGCATTCCTTCTGTGACTTTGCGGGGTGGCGGTGGTCGAGTGATCATCAAGGTGGCGGGAAGGAGCTTTCCGAACATGCTTGGGACATCTCCGACAAAGTTCTTCTTGGAAATCACAGATGCATACACAATAATAGCAACAGTTGAATACAGTTCGGAGATAGTATATGTAAAAATCCAGTGCCTTTTTGTCGAGCATCACGTTCTTCTCTTCAGGTAGATCCGGTTTGAGATCCGAATCCTGAGGATTAAGTCCAGGATCTTGGGGCGTAGGGGTACCACCGCCTGTATCTGCCGGTGGTTGCTTGGATGTTGATTCGAGGTTCTGCCCCGTTTCATCTTTCATCTTGCTGATTTTGGCTTCGATGGCCGTGCTACCACATTTCTCCTGATTCGAACCAGTTCCGAAATATTCGGCTTCAAAACAAGCGGCAAGCTTGCGAATCTGGCCTAAATCCTTGATAATGCGTTCATGTGTGTTCATGATTCCCGGACAGAGACGTAGCTTCTGAAACGCCGGACGTTCGGTTCTCATGAGATGTAGAGTAAAATTATTGATCTACGGTAGGTTGCATTAGTCACTCAGAAGATACCCACACATTGAATATTTCAGCTTACTTTTGATTCTGCAAGTGCGCTTTCAGCCGCTTTCATGTCAGTACCAGGTACAAAAGACACCCACCCGACCCGATGTAGTTTCTTGCCGGTGTGGGGATCTGACAGGGCAAGGTAATCAAACCCTTCCACTTGTTTGCAATGCTACCGTAAAAACGAGGCATCAGCGAGATGGTACCTGGCCAATGATAGGACAGGCAAAACACACGTTTTCCAGTTCTGTACGAGAGATATCGGGGCTGATGCTTTTGATGAAAAGCTGATTATCCGCAGGGGGTAAGATGACGATATCATCAGAGCCCATTTTGCCTCTCATGCTTTCACCAATAAGGCTTCCTAACGCACTGGACGGCGCTAGTCCTGTATTCGGACCATTCAATGCTTCGGCCATGCTTGCACTGAACTCATCATCCGGCTCTTCGTAATCTTCTCCCTCCGCATCTGGGTTGGTCGAAGTGATCTCATTTTTCACATCTGCATCGGATTCGGTCTTGACTTTGCCAACTGCAAAACCAAAACGATTCACTTTGAGTAAATAAGTAGAAGACGTGTAGAGAAAAATACCAGACTTACCCTCCGAAACTGTAGTGACCTCGGAGTCTGGCTTTGGTGGGAGTGTAGATTCTTTTATTTCGCCGTCTTGACTTGTGGTCGGAGCTTGAGTTGACGGTGCGGCAGGACCAGGGTCAGTCTTGAGGCCGGAAGTACCACGGTCTTCCAGCTGATCTGTCAATGATTTAGGGACCACCAGCCTCTTGATTGAAGTGGGAGCGGCTACAGTTCAAAATTGTGGCTCGAGTCAGCCGAGTGATAAAGCCAAACGTTAAAGGAAGCGACTCCCACGACTTACAGGCGTAATCGTAGTTAAGGATATCCAAATCGCCTTTCTCTAGCCGTGAAATAAAACTCTCAATCTTGCCCTCTCTTCCCTTTTTCTTCAATCGCTGTCGAAGTTCTTCAAACTCGGGACCAGGTTGATACTTCTCACGGAACCAAGCTTTCGATTTATTTTCCTCAAAGAAGGCAACAAGTTGTTTTCGTGTATGATCTTGACGGTACCGTTTCCATTGCTCGGCAAGTTTCTCTTTGTCTTCGGCAATGTGTGGGGAGGTTGAGCGCATGAAATCAGCAAAATACCGAAACGAGACAAGGTGGGGGAGCTCGGAAGGTGGTGTTAGATGGGAACGACTGGAGCCATTTGTCAGATCATCGATTCAGAAAAACAGAAACAAAACATAACAAAGTCAGAAGATGTAGGAGGCCCAAGCTTCAACACAGAATAGAAGAGACCTACGAGTGATTGGGTCCCCCACGACCTGATAGACCGCGATCGGGCGAATACGTAAACATGTCGTCACGATAAGCATTTCCACTACGCCGATAGGGGTCATCGAAGACTTCGGGGTTTGGGCCATGGCGAACTGGACGATCTGTTGGCAGAAGAAGGTGATTGAAGAGATGACTTAGAAATTGACAGCACTCGAACGTTGGGACAAATGATGTGAGTGGGGTGGGGCACAGGTTCAGCGGGTCTCTGTGCTATTGATAATCGAGGACCCAGAGTGCTGAGGTTCTGACGATAGGTAAGGTGGATGGACGTGGTAATGACCCACCATGGTCAAGGATAGGGTAAGGATAATCTCGTCTGTCTCGTTCTCTGTATGGCTCACGTTCGTAATTGGGGATATACCGATCTCGACTGGGGGGAGACTCATCCCTCCGTCGTTTCCTACCTAAACACGAATGGGGGGGTAGGCGAAGAGGACGATAGTGAGTACAAGAGCAGGAATGAGGAAGAGAGGGGGCTTACCAAATTCAACAGATCTTCCACGTGAATTTGATCCAGGTGGACCATTTCCACCATTCCACCTGTCTCCGGGTGGAGGAGGGGAGCGTCGACCACCATCATCAAATCTTCCACCTCTACCGGGAGATGGACTTCTGAGACGTGGTTCTTCCAGACCGGCCGAGTCGGACATGATCAGATCCTTCAAAAGTGAGGGTTATGTCGGTTTGAGTGTGGTTCTGGTCGATCGAGATGAGAGGAGTTATCTGGTCAAGAGATGATTAAGGTGAGATGAAGTGGCTGATCGAGGTGGTTGAGTGGTGAGTATGTATGAGTGACGATCGATGATGAGTGAGGGATAGGGGTGAGTGGTCGGAGCGGATGAGGAAAGGTGCTGCGGCTTTGGGCGGGTGTACGTAAGTAGGTAGTTCCAGGGACCAGGAGTCAATCGGTGGCCGACGGGGGAGGAGGAGGAAGGATAGGCCAGTTGGAGTTGAGATAGGATCCAATCCATGGTTCGAGGTGATTGAAGGGGATGATGGTAGGCAAAACATAAAAAAAAAGACAGGGCAAACGATAGATGAGTTAGAGGAGCTTCTGAAGATGGTAACGATGACGATGTGCGATAGAGAGCAGTCGGGTTTCAAAGCGATGAGAGAGGGTGCGATAAAAGTTAGTAGATCAGCAGACAGGCTGCTTGCAGTGCTGTAAGTGTGTGGTAGTACAGTCTGATTGAGGTAAACTGGTCC